TAATACGTTTCGTAGATTAAGATGTCACTTTTAGTCGATCAATGATAGTTTTCTTTTTTTTTTCATGCCACCGAAAGTAGTTTTCTCAACAGTATGAAGAAGCAGCGTCACGACGCGGAAAATAAGAGTGGAAGACGAACCAATGAGTGAACTCGACGAATACGGATCGATGTTGTGTTAAGTATCGATGGTGTAGCTTGCGGATCTTATATCCGACTTAATGGGATCGTTACATTACCTCGGACTTATTAGCACTTAGCATTGTTGTTTCGATAAGACTAGGTATTTTGGTAAGACTACTTAGCAAGCATATTCTTTGCTCATATTTCATATTGACATTCTTTTCATTTATAAGTATGATAGATATTATATTTTATTTTATCTTAATCTTTAAATATCATTATTTTAATAATCTTTCGTTATTTTCAAGAAGTAAAATAATATGGAATATACATTTTTTTTCTTTTTACTTTTATTAGATAATAAAGTATATATGTAATTCAAAAATTACAATTAATCGTGAGTATGAATATCATACAATATTTAAATAAATTTTAAAGAAATCGAACATTTGTCCTCGATTAAGATATTGCGGTTTCTTCTTTAATCCAATCTATCATGTAGGATAGGTTCTCATACGTAGTTGGGTATGAAAATCCACAAGATTCGCTCCACGATGCTACACCTATATTAAAGAATATTTCAGATTATTATTTTTAAATTGTTCATTAATGGTTATTCAATAATTTACTCAAATCGAATAAAAAGTGTTAGCTTGCCAATTAATGTGTTATTTATTATAGCCGGAGCACCGGAGTCACCTATGCAAGGTTTACGATCGTTGGCGATAATACAAAACATTCGATTAGTCAATTGATATCCGTACTTCGATGTACACTCTTCGTTACTAATTTTTTGTAGATTAGTTTTTTTCAAGTTCTTGGAGTATGGACCAAGATTCTGTAAGGAGATATTCAACGGTAAAAAATATTTTAACGTAGCCGTTTAAAGAATATTCGTAATCTGTTATCTCTCTTACCCGTGTCGTTCCCCAACCGACGACAGTAATTTCAGTACCATTCTTGATTACCTGATCTTTTTCAGATAATTTAATTGGTTGCTTAAATTTATCAAACACTATCTTCCTTTTTAACTGAAACATAAGATTATTTTTTGTAAGACACTTTAGTCAATTAGCTAAGATAGTTAATTAAGCGATGGTAAAATGTCGTTACCTTAACAAGTCCAATATCGAAATCGTAATTTTGATAATTGAAGGCAGGATGGACAACGATCCTTTCAACGTTATACGTCGTACCGTTTTCATAATAATACGTGCTACCCGCTCTAATGTGGTATTCTCTAACGTTTATACTGCAAGAAAAGGAATATTCGAATTTATAGGAGAGAACTTGTCAATAGAAACTATATCAGTATACTATATCGAATGAGTTCGAACTGGTCTTGCCTGAGAGCACACTGAGCCGATGTTATTATCCACGTATCACTGATAATACTACCGCCGCAAAAATGTTCGACATCGTGACCAAAAATCGTGACATTGTTCTGTAGGGAAACCTGCAGGGAAAGAATAATTTTCTAAATGTCAAATGGCCCGTAAAGTTCGATCGTACGACGTATACTAACTGCAAATGGATATTCTTCTATAACAGCATTCTCTCCTCCGATAATTCTTTGTCCCACTGACTTCAGGCTTATTCTTTTCCGATAATAGTCTGTATGACATTCAAATAAGATGGCGATATCAGCGTATCGTTTACAATTATCTTTTCATCAAAATATTTCAATTCAATCGTACGTTATCTATAAATCTTTAATAAGTTCGATTGTTTCTTTAAATTCTAATATTATATAACAACTTTTGAATGAATTATATGTGAAATTTTTTAAGAAAATAATTGTTTTAAATTGTTTTCATGATTAATTGAATAGATGTATGAAAATATTAGGCATACCTGAATCAAAGATGTCAGACGTCCAAGAAGAACCGAGAAAGGAAATTAGTACTACCAGCTTGATCATTTTAGTGTTGTTTGAACGAATAATGGCTCTCATCGTACTATATAAAGCTTTTGAAATTCATATATACATGTATAGGATTATATTCTTGCGTATATCATAAAATTGTTAATTCCTGTAATAATATGACTGGGACAGTTTACTCATCGTCACGATGGGGAATTTGTAAAATATTCGCACGCAAAATGACTCAAACAGTTATGTAGATAATTTTGAGCTGCATCGTTGTTGCGCCATCAATTCAGAACGTCGTATTTAAATTTCAGTCTTCGTCTTTAAGGGAATTAAATTCGGCTGCAGTCGTAGAATTTCTAATATAAATATTCAAGTATTTTCATGTTTTGTAATTAACAATCTTGCTTTTTTAATTTACATGGAATATATATAAAATCTAATTTTGTTCTGGATTGCGTATACTTTGTCTAATCTGTTTATATATTTTTTCTCTCTATTCAACGAGTAATTTACTTTATTAGATCCAGTTGAAATTTATTTTCAGACGGATGAAAAATATTCTATTTCTCTTAGGGTGACATTTTTGAACATCTACCTACAGACAGAATGAAAAGGCATCGTCAGTGACGTAAAAAAATAATATGTTAATTACTTAATTATAACGGCAAGGCTTTATCTAGGATGTTACTTGCGAGTAATTAGTAAGAATTCTAAATTAAAGTAAAAATGCACTTGTACATAGGTGCACCATATGGCGAAGCTTGAATGATAATGTACATAAGCTCAGAGTAGTCCGAATTTCGTAATAAAAACTGAAGAGAAAACACGTTGTAATTGCAATTACGTATGCAGACTTTTGTTGATTTTTTGTGGAAATGAGACCGTGGATTTTCTCTGCCTGACAAAGTAGATACTGTATACATATGAGTATACAATGATGAAATATTTTTCGCGAAAATGTGACAAAGTTTTTTCGAATTGTTTTTTATTTTCTTTTATTTCTTTATTCCCCCTCTCCTCATAATACATATATAATTTTTCTCATTATCTTCTGTTGTATGATATCGTATAATAAACAAATTTTTTGTTGCATACGAAACGTTTACGAAATGGAAAAAAGCTGAATGTGAGTTTTACAAATTCGTAAGCATATCGTAAATTTGGTTAAGCTGTTTTCCATTCGATCATTAGACTTTTAATATACGCCATCACCATTGACCTGGCAATTTCTTATCGATATTGACGTTGTTGATGCATGCGCACCAATTAAAAAGCCATTTCGGACGATAAAGTCGATCTATATTGGTTTTTACGCTCAACGTATAGCCGTAAGCAAGGTTTATTGATCTTTTGATAAATTTTATCGATGCTACGAATTCATAATAATTTCCTAACATCGAAATATCCATGACTATGTGAAGAAAATAATAAAAAGATACTTGCTCTAAATTTTTACGAATAAACCAAGGAAAAGTTCTTTTTCTTTTTTCTTTTTTCTTTTTTCTTTTTTAATATTAATAATATCACTAAATTCTTATGACAATATACGTTCGTTTAGCCGTAGAATTATTATAATTTCTATTTCAACTATATGATACATTCATTATGCGCCATATCATTAATAATAATAGATGGCTTATTTCATGCGGGTTAGTCCATATAATATTTACGTTGCACTCGAGTTCCCGCATTTTCGAAATAGTTCATTCAACTACATAAATTATTACACAGCTTTAACTTTACGCTGATGCTATATCCGTTTGCTTAAAAACGGAATAGTTCTTTTATAAATTATCATCTAAGCAATAATGTTTGATATTTAATGTAACTGAATTAAATTAAAAGAGTTTTAATAAGATTTAATAAAAGTAAACGAAAAGGAATAAATTATTCGCGTTCCATTGAAATTAAAGTACAATATTATAACGAATAGAAAGAAAACAAAAAAAAAAAAAAAGAAAAAACAAAAAATATTAAAAAATAGAAAAAAGAATTGCGCGTACGGACGAATATTTCACGGAACATTTATTAAACTCTTTCGTAATGCTTAACGGAATACGTTAGCTAATGGAAGAAGATAGACAAAGATAGATTTAAAGATAGATTCACATTTAATTCGATGTACGATAACGATTAACTATAACTTTCCTGTTCGTTGAAAGTGAAATCAAAAAAATAGTTACGCGGACGACGGAAATGTTAAAATCGTAAATTTCTTTAACAGTGCATTCAAATGAACTAAATATTCGTCAGGTGGAGTATATAACGAAGCATTAACCGCTTCCCTTTTGGCGGACTATCGTAAAATTCATTTCCATATATTCTCATTGGATAATACATAGATATAAGATATATACACGTATACTATGTGCGCATCGAAGCATTAGAGCATGTGTATCGGTATGTAGGAAGTGAGAGTTTAGCTCGTTAAATACGATGTCTTCTAATCCGGTAGAGTCCTATCGTAAGATTAAGACGTTTTGGCTGGAAGCATTATCTACTTCCGTTAACGTTCAACATTAATTCACCTCAACCCGTTAAACTCAGTACCGTTCTTCGTCTCACTGTCTTCCTTCTCTTATCGTTGATTTCCTCTCAAATTCACCGTGACGTTAGCCGTTTCGCAAAATTTTCTAATCTCTCCGGTATTGCTTCGGTAATTCTAGCGAATCGAAAGTGGAATTAAATGCGGTTACTAATTGTTAATGTTACGAGAACAATTAGCAATTAGAAATTAATCGATATTTAAGTAATCTGCTATTAAATTATTTTAATTAAACAACTTATTTTAGAAGTATTTTCCTATTTATTTATATTAATTATATATTATATTGTATAGTATCTTAATCAAAAGAAACACTTGAAGATATTTTTGGATGAGATGTATCTTACTTGAAAACACTTCAAATGAATCAATTCGTGCTATCGATATCGAAGAGTGTAGTCTGTTATCAGTATTGCGATTCGAATCGCATCGAGTGAATTTAATATTGTCAGCGATGTTAGATTAGTGTACGTATTTTAGTTTAAGTAGTAAAGATGTTGTACGTTCTTTTCTTCATTTTTTTCGCTTCTCTGTCTACAGCAGATATACATCCTAGAATTATAGGAGGAACGACTACCACGATAACTGCACATCCATATCAAGTAATTATAATTAGTTTTTTCTTGTTACTTTAATACAAGGTTGCTTTAAATATTTCTTAAACAGTAAGAATTCTTATATATGTAAATAGAATATTTATTTTAATCATATTTATTAAATAGAAGTCAATTAATTAACAAGTTATCATGCGAGAATATTATACTACAATAATTTGAATATACCCAAGTATTAATATATATATATTTAATTTATTCAAATATCAACAATATTAATTTCGTTTGTTTATTTCATTTAAGGTATCCATCATTTATAAAAATAAACTTCTCTGTGGAGGTTCAATAATAAGTAAATTATGGATACTAACCGCTGCACATTGCATTGATAGGTTCGTATAAATTTTATCTCTTTAATTAATTTTATTCAAGTTATCACATTTTCCTTTTGATTGTATTTTGCAAATAATATCATTTATAGGCGTTCGATGTTCGAAATGCTGTCGATTTGTTTGAATCTTTCGCACACACATCGTTTAAATTTCGAAATTGTTAATTACTCCGATATGTTATTCTTTCTTTTTTTTTTCTTTTCCTTTTTCCTTTACAGTGTAACAGCCCAAGCACTTTCCATTCGTGTTGGAAGTACTTATTTTACTAAAGATGGTACACTCATCCAGAATATAGCTCAACTTATTCCACATAATCTTTATGACGATCATACTTTCGATTATGACGTTGGCTTGATAAAGGTGAGCGGCAGAAAGCGAAAGCTTTCGAAATATATTTTCTTTTAATTTTATTATCTTATTTTGTCTTGACTGTTCGTCGAAGTTCTTAGATTCTTAAATTTTATCTTATATGCTGTATATCATTCTTAGCAAGATGCAAAGAAACATACCATTTCTATAAAAATGTTTTAAATTGTATTTTTTTTCTTAGTTAGCGTCAGAGCTGAAGTTCAGTTCGACAGTGAATATAGTGAAATTACCTTCGGTGAACGCAAACGTGCCAGGTGGAATCAATGCTATCATCACGGGATGGGGAAAGACGGTGAGATTTTTTTTCTCTTGGGGGATATATCATTCCGATGAACGCGTACACGTTTCTCACGTTGAGTTAGTTTTGGACGTTGACGCTCGTCGAGACTGATTACCGGCGATTTGTGCAAATAACGGGAGTTTGCCGATCGGTCGACATTGTCTGGTTGTCACAACAAACATTCCTCCTGGCTTGTCGAACGTTTGCCGGATTTCGATTGGCAAACTGTGAGTCGTTAGAAAAGGGTTACTCCTCTCGTCGATGCCAGCTTTAAATTTCGATCGTATTTTCCTTCTCTTCGGCAAATCTCGGAACAAAAGCCAGAGGAAATTGAAATTATCCGACAGAAAAGGGGATATAAAAATAACGGCTGTTTAATCCATGAAATGTATATTTTGAAATTTCAGGGAACGACGGATACATCTAACGCGTTGCAAGCTCTGACAATACCTACCATTGATCAACAAAAATGCACCGAAATCTTTCGTAAGAGCCCGTATCAAATCACGCAGCGAATGATGTGTGCCGGTTATCTCTCCGGTGATAAGGACGCTTGTCAGGTAAAGTAAATTGTTAAAGTGAGTGACATAATTTTTCAGACATTTTTTTCAAAATGGATAACTGTTTTTAGATTGAAAAAGTTGCTTTAAATATCTATGTAGAAAAAAATGCATAAAAAGAAATTGTTATACTTGGATGAAGTAGGTCAAAAATGAAAAAAGAACAATAGTAACGCGTGCATTTTTATTTCCATTAGAGTTTATTCAGATATTATTCTGTTTAAAAAAGCATCCGAATATTTGTATAATTAAATAACAAAGAGATATGAATGCCATACTTATAAATTCAGAATTAAATTTTGTTCAGATTTTATTCGATTGAAAAGCTTTCGAATATATATGTAATTAAATAACGAAGCGATACAAGAAACGATGAAAGTATCTATCCGATAAATTCTTCAAGTGATATCTTATTTTCTATTTTGAAAGGAATAAAGCGGAATATGGTATATTTTAAAATTAGATTAATCAGTGAATACCTCTTACGTCATATTGAATTTCATTCGCGATGTTTTGTACATCAAGGAAATAGAGTTATCAAATCATAAGATATTCTTTGCCCTTTTATTTTCTATTGATCAATTTAACTGAAATGTCTCGTTATTTAGTTTTCACGTATTATTTAAATATAATAATAATTTCCAATCAAGATATTTCTAATAAATTTCTCATTATTATGATCATAGAGTGATTCCGGCGGACCTCTCGTGTATAATGGCGAACAGATAGGTATCATATCCTGGGGTTTAAAGTGTGCAACCAAGGGTTATCCTGGAGTATATACAAAAACGTCTGCCATACGTGCTTGGATAACAACTATGACAAAGATATAAAAAAAAATTTATTTTACTCTTGAATCAAAATTAATAATGCCAAAGTACTAATTAGATAAAATACTATTCTGAAAAATGGTACGTTTATTTTCTAGTCTCTTGGAGTTTTCTTTTGATAAATTTATTATCCGATACTGAAATAGAAAAATAAAAATTTAATTTGCATATATTTATATATATTTGCAGTTTTGAGTGTGCCTCTATAATTGCAGTTTTGAATGTGCCTCTTACCATTAGTGGACTCTTTCGTCGAATGAACTTCAAATTAACAATGATTCATAGTCGTTATACGATGGTACGAGAATGATTACGTAAAATACATCCTCGATATCGTCGAAGCGTATCGAGAAATATCGGAGTCTGGTTTGCAGGCAGTTTAAATGGCTTTCGTGGAAACAATGAAAGTCGATTATCCTAAGAACGGATTTCCGGTTGGCATTCTTTCGTCGAGAGAATGACATTATGTTGTCAATAGTCGTTGAGATTCATTCGAGTTATTTGGCAGAACGAAACTAACAACTGTGTTGATGATGAATTTCTCGACTATAGTTTAATAGCCAATAATCTTTCATGTTTTCCAAATCAGTTTTGTAAAAGAAAATGTTTCAATCTTGAATCTAGAAAAAGAGGAATTAAATTTGTGTGTATTTTTAATGAATATACTCAATGATGGATCGAGGATTATGATATTACCATTTAATAAAATTTGTCGAAGATATGGAAGATCGATGAGTTTATCGAGGTTTTACATTTATAAAATTATTAAATCCAAAATGTGACCCTTTCTATGACCTTTCTCAAAATATTATACATGGATAAATCAAGTATGTACATATATCAACGACGTCGACTACGTGCTTTCATTTTTTGAATCCAATTTTTACATAATAGAACTATAGCGTATCAATGTGTGCACCCTTTAAACAGGGATTCTCTAACATCGAAATTTCGAGCCAGGAAAAGTACTCACGAAATAGCAATAAAATTTTCGAAGGGAAAAATCCGTTCGACCTTAAACGTTTATCATTGTCGTCATTCGGAATTATTAATTCTCGAGCTGACGCGAACGTGTTCTGAATTTCGTCGCGGTGTGACCTTGCATAAACGGTTTTCTAAGTTCGCACAGATGTCTAAGTCGTAAAGGGCATCACGAAATGGCGATGCTTACCTTTGGTCCTAGAACGCTGGCACATAAAGAGCATTGCTATTGTACGTGATACGGTGATCGTCATCTTCTTCAGAGGATAATACACGAAAGGAAAGGCTAAGGTTCAACCACCTTCTCTGTTCTTCCTTTGGCTCACCTTGTGCCCTTCGACTCGTTAAGAATCATACCGACCGCGGCATACTAATACAATGCGCATTATGGTTGGTAAGCAATCGATATTACCTGGATATCTACCCAGTTTCCTACTAGTTCAGCAGCTTGCATGCACTACTTCCGTATATCCACTCTCCAGATAACAATGAGATATAACACTAGCACGGAAGCGTTTTGTTAGACTTTACGCTGTCCTCGCATCTAGGCGAGCACACGTGCGCCGATTTGTAATTTTACCTTTACCTTTCCTTGTTATATAGCCCCATGGTATTTCTCACTGAGAAGGAAGTTCCTAGATGTTAAATACCTTGGAACTTTAGCGGTCTATGGAAATATATGTATAATTATGTTATTGGATTACTCGAATATTTGTACGGTCGAGTTCCTGAGCACTCCACGTACGAGATTGGTATCATCGTTCGCGACGTCATTAGATGTCTCTAAGTAGAACAGCGCATGCTTGTTATGATTCGAAAATAAACGACATTTTCTTTAACTATAGTATAAATCGATCATCGACTGTCAATAGATGTTTTGATACGAAGATTGCGAAAAGACTGATTCATCATTTAAAATTGATACAGACGTCTATTAACCTGGATTCCTAAATATCGAAATAAAAGAGAATCGAGCCGAACGACCGACAGGTAGTTCTTTCCTGGCTTTTGTCTCGACTCGTCTCTCATCATGCGTACTCGACTTTTCCTATCGTTTCTTTTTCTCTTCACACAGCTGGTTCTCTCTCAGGATTTTAATTGGGATTGTACGTATCGTTACTTTACATTCTTTTTCCTTTAATTCCTTTAGCATCTTCGAAACGATCACGTAATGGAGAAATTTCGTTACTTTGTTCGTCGAAACGAGATCGGAAGTCGAGCGAGTTGTTGATAATAGACGGCAATTGCTCGGCAACAATTCCTGGCGAAATATTGATCTGGATAATTCGGCATTTTAGACGACGAGGGTCGCATTGTTGGTGGCCAACAGACCAGCATTCATCAGCACCCCTACCAAGTGAGTGTTTTGGACAATTATTAACTAGTTAAGCGACGATCGTCGAATCGAAATCCTCGGGGCGTAACCAGTGAGACAAATATTGTACCTATGTTACGATGTAGTTTCTCTAAACGGAACTAGAAACGCGAATATACGTTATATATTATATTTCGTCGATTCATTGTATTTAATATATTTACATAAATCAATTGGATTATTATACTTAATTTATACGAAAGGCATGAAGATTTTTTATATCTTTCTTTTAAAAAGTTGTCCTGAAAAACAGTTTTGTGTTAACGTATAATCGATTTTAGCTATGAGTATATTGATAAATTAGCATAATCAAGTACAATAATATATGCTCGAATTCATAGGTTTCTGTTCGATTTAATATTCGTCACATTTGCGGTGGTGCTATCATTAGTAACGAATGGATCGTCACTGCAGCTCATTGCGTAGAAGGGTGCGTAGAATATTTTATTTTTATGAATAAATTATTTGTACAAATTTGTATTATAACTTATATCTTTCCTCGCAGCTCATTAGTACGGTACATCTCGATAAAGGCAGGAATATCGGATTTAAAAATGAGAGGTATAATGATCCGTGCTAAGGAAATTATTGTTCATGAAAATTATAATCATCAGACTTCCGATTATGATATCGCATTGATTCGAGTGAGTACTCATTGTTTAAAATCTATTTCTACAACGTTTATGATAACTTTCCAAAGGTTCAAATTGATACTTCGAATATTATATTTGATGCGTCAAAAGGATTCTTTTTTGATCTTTATCTTGTGATATGAACATTTAATTTAGTTCTAATATAATTACACTTATAGTTAGAGAAGTCACTTCATTTTGGACACAATATGAGACCCATCTCTTTAGCAAAAACTACGGATCAGTATACGGCAGGTTCCAAGGCCGTTGTGACAGGTTGGGGTGTTTTGAGAAAGAATGGTGTGTTGTCCGATAAATTACGCGAAGTAAGAGTACCGGTAGTCTCGAATATAAATTGTTCGTACTTGTATACGGGTCGTGAGATCACGTCAAGAATGTTGTGTGCTGGTTATTTAAATGTTGGTGGGAGAGATGCTTGTCAGGTAAACAACAATTGATTTCGATCCATCGAATAAGTATACAAGTTTATTAATTATTTATTTTTTCTTGTACATTACTTGATACAATTTTAATTCACTTCTGCAAATTATTTTCGGATAACATTTTTTGATATATTTTCGTAATAATTTTAATACCGATATGCTTACATAATAATTTATTTGCGAAAGAAACGAAAAAAAGATGATTGCTATTTAATTATTTCTTTTAGGGTGATAGCGGAGGACCATTAGTACAACAAGGAAAACTAATTGGCCTTGTATCTTGGGGTTATGGATGTGCAGAACCAGCATATCCTGGGGTTTATACGCGAGTAGCAGCTTTTAGATCTTGGATAGCTCAACATGCTGGAGTATGAGAAATGCAATGGAGACTTTTTAACAATAATGTTTCGGAACGTAGGAAATATATTTTTGTATATTTTTATTACTATATAAATATCCAATTATTACAATGTTTTATGTAGACATTGTTCTCGTATATTGACGCCTAAGCGACTATTCCTGATATATACTTACATATATTTTCTAATTTTCTAAATCAATATTTTAGTAGTGGACACCCGAATTTGATGCAATCCACTCGAGGTAATTACTGATACGGGTATAGACACCCGGATGTAGCATAGTCTCACATCCTAATCCATAGGATAGAATCCCAATCAGCATCTGGTCTACCATGAGAGGTGCTCCTAGATCTCCCTACAAACATACGTGAGACGATTTCGGTAAATGATCAAGATCGTGTTCAGATTAATTCTCCTTGCTCGTCCATTGTTTGCAAATAACTCGAACGTCGCTCTTCAATTTTGGCCATAACTCTTGTGTAAATACTTGCAACGAGATCGAATCGATTTCAATGTTTACACTGACGTTCTGTTATTGACTTGGTATTATTGTTTAACAATAATAGAAAGATCAATAAAACGTGACGTTCGGTAGAATCGACGTTGGAATTCCTTATCACATATAGAGAAAGAGGAAAAGAGAGAGAGATAGATAGACAGATAAATAGATAGATGGATAGATAGATAGATAGAGAGAGAGAGAGAGAGAGAGAGATTCACGAATGTATTCGCAAAATTTGAAGCGAAGAGAATGAATGCGAGTCTGTTGAGGCATTTGGTGGACGATTTTATTAAGAAAAGAAGTTTCGGCACTTTATCGTCAGACTGGCACCATTATATTCTTTCAATAATATTCAATTTCGATTCCGTAGTTCGTATTCTGTATTCAAGAAGGTTCTCTTAAGCATTCCCAAAGCTCTTCTCGTCGGAGAGTACTTTTCAAGAGGACGCTGGAGTATCGTTAGGGGTTCAACCTGCATGAATCGAGCACAAAGAGTCCATTTACGGATATATCGCCGAGATACTTTCGAAATTAACGTTATCACCGCGCCATTTCAAATGCCGGGGCTTTCGAATACAGAGGACTCGAAGAGGTCTCTCCACGACGATGCGAGTGGTGCTTGCGCGTGCTTTCGTTTAAATCCTTTGAAAACGTGTCGATCGAATAAAAACCGATTTTCATGGAATAAAAAGCGCGAGTCTCCGGGATAGACGTGTGACGCCTTTCATTTTTATCATAGCTATGCGTTGAAGTGCGATTTTTTTTTTTATTATTTTTTTATTCTTTTATTTGTTTTATCATCATTATTATTTTTATTTTTTATGATCAACAAATCGTGGCGAAGTGGTCGATAATAAATTTTTCGTGCCCCCTTTTATCGGATTTCAACGTGACTTTGTATTTGATTACATTTTTCCATGGTAGTTTTTTTTTCAAGTATTTCAATAAAATCACCGTCACTCGTGTTAACTTGTAAAATAGTAATTAAATTGAGAGTTTCTAGCGGGAATTCGCGGTAGTGCGTTAGGAAAAAATCGTATAAATCGTTTGTTGTTGACAAATGACAGTAGTTATCTAATACATCACTGTAACAATCACAGAGGACAAAATTGTTGTTGATTTTATACTACATCGATCATGACGAAGAGATACATGCATCCATTTTTGTGAGACATATTTGAGGTAAAATGATAACGCCTAAAGGAAATTACTTTTATCTGAGACTAGATATTGCTTCATTTTTTGATCGAATAATTTCTTTTCTATTTTTGATTTTCCTATCCATTTAGAAATAGTACCTACTTGTCATGATATATGTAGGTACTTAAGATATATATATTTCTAGAAGATACAATATTTAATTTACCGTTACATTTATAATCAGATAAGATATTTTATAATAATTTACGTTTCGATGTGATCAAAAATAAAATAATATTATTATTGTTTAAGGTTTTTGAATATTTAGTCAAAAGTTATTAACCTCGATTTTATTCAGACAATAATGTGTAAAGCGTTGAAAAGGCTTTCTTATCAGACGGAGATAAAGAGAAAGAAAAAATGAGAAAGAAAGAAAGCAAAAGGCGTGCTTTCCATAGTAAGGTCTCCCATTGTTCCTTAACCTCTGCCTCTGACAACCGAACGTGCTTCGTAACGGAAAGTATATAGATATACATATATACGTATATACTTATGTACGCGTCTTAGTTTATACATATGTATTATACGCCATGATCATATATGCGTTTATCGTTCAGATATCCAGAGGAGGTCAGAAAACATCTTGAAAGCATTTACTTATGAATGCTTCGCGATCATCGGTTATTTTCATTTTTTTTAATCTCTTTTATTCATCTATATTTTTAAATAAATTCTCTCACCTGACACGTTTCCACTCCTTTAGTCATATTACCAGCACAAAGCATTTTCTCGGAGAGTGGTTTATAGCTAGGCATAAAGGACGCGCATCTCTTCTGATTTACGGTCATTACACTTATTACCGACAATTCAGGTTCAATAGATATTCTCTGAAACTGAGAATCAATCATAATGCATGATATTAAATACTTGGATATTAAAGATAGATCAAAAGTTTTAGGACTAATAAATAGAAAAGAACTGACAATTAAATTGTGCCTGTCATATAAATGATTAATTAATAATTGTTGTTTAGATAATATAAAAAATAGTTAAATATAACCAATAAATTTTATTTACCGATTTTCGTTGCCAGCCAGTAACGAAAGATGTGGTATTATCTTTGATAAAATAATCTGCATTTTCTGGCAAACCAATTGGTTGTAAGTTTTGTCCGAACATTACTGGCATTTTCAGCTAAATAACAGATTTATCTTAAGTATACTTTTTCTTTTTTATAAAGAAAACATAAGAAAATTATCGGTTAATATTTTTGTATTAATGTTATATACCCTTATCAATGCTATGTCGTTGACATTGATGTATTTGTCGAATTGATTATGGATAACGATGTTATTTATATCCAAATTATTTCCATTTTTTATTAAAGATTCAGAACGAACGCGTATCTTGATATCGGATGTCTTCGAGCTAAAAATAATTTAGAATGATAGGATACAAGATTTTTTCGTTGAAATAATTGAATTAATTAGAAATTCCAGATATATTTTTCTCTGAACATTAAATCGAATAAATAGTAATATTCATTAACGAAAAATGTAATATAGGAGAGAAATATATATACTTGAATACACAGGATGCTGCGGTTAAAATCCAGGATTCGTATATCAAAGCACCACTACATATGTGCTTTCCGGATTTTTGAACAGACACCTAAAAATGAAAACAATACTTTTTAATTATGAGTGATTAATGAAAGAAAAATATAAATAATACAAATTTCATTTTATTTTTAATTATCTATTATGCTTAATAAAATATATTTAATGTCCCGTTTTCGTTTCTTTCTTATAAGAATAATTTTATCTTTAAACGCTTACTATCGTTAAAACTAAGAAAAGAGTTCAAAATTGTTTAATAACGGTAAGGTGTAGATATCTTTGTCTCTGTCTGTCTTTCTCTTACTTTCTTTTTTTTCTTTCATTACAAATTATATAACAGTTATTTTATTCAGATGAACGAGAATAATCTGCACAATATAAACCGATAAAAAATTATTTCATAGACTTACGTGATAGGGGTAATCTTTGATGGACGCTTTTTTAGCCTCTCCAAGAATGAAAACTATATATACATAGATATATGTCATATATACAATCATATTTATTAAAAATATTTTTATGAAATAGTCCGAATTTATTTGGGGGGAAAAAAAAAGAAAAAATAAGACTTACTTTCAATGAAGATAGTACAAATCAATAGGATGCTCTTTAAAGTCATTTTGTTGATGATCGATCACACCTCGATGATAGCACACGCAGAAATATCTCATTCTCTTTAACGAAATTGGATATAACATCATAGATAAAATTTATTTCGGACATTATCGATTCTTAAGTCAAAAACATTTTTCGTGTAAATCGGAAAGATTGTCGTTTTTTCGGATCTCCATTGTAACTTTTTTGACATTTTAACATCGAAATAATGTCTACAGATAAAATTTGATTTTCCTTATGTAGTTTTATTCCATAGCTTTATAAACAAGTCGAACGTACGAAGAGATATCGTATCATCTTAAAATATAGCGATAATATATCGTAATGATCAATAGATTAGATATAGTCTACTTACAGTCGTCGTCGGAAAAGTATAATTATGAAGAGGTTTTATATTATTAGTTTTATATTATTATAGAAAACTATGAACAGTAGTTGATAGTTAGTAATTAACAACGGCATTACAATTTTATTGTTATGTTAAACTATTATAATAATTAAAGATAACGAATTTTTTTTACGTTCAAATGTGTGTATACTTGTAATATCGAATTTAATATATATATTTTCACAATCTATGTTAAAATTTTTTCATGTTAAATTTTTCTTTTGTTGAAGTTTTTGGAATTTTACATGTAATATATACAATTTAGCATGGAGTCAATACATTTAATTACACTTTTTCATTTAAATCATATTAAACACCACTCATTTTCAAAATCCATAAGCGTAAAGATGCAATGTTAGTATATACACCGGGATAATTTGGTCGGGCACATCCAAATCCCCATGAAACGATTCCGTAAAGTGTACCATTTGCTGTAAGTGGTCCTCCGGAGTCACCTTGACAGGAATCTCTACCACCATTCTCAAAACCGGCGCAAATCATATGTTCAGTTACATTGGCAATGTTGTTGTAAGTTGCTTGACAGTTTACTCTGCTAATAATGGGTACACTTACTCCTTGTAAAGAGTTTGGATTATCGCCTGATTCCTGTAATTAACAAATTGTTCATCTCTACATAGAAGAAATCAATAATGAAAAAGTTGTGATATGTCCATTATACAAATTATTTGGATTAAGTCAAAGATTTATTGAATACCTTTAAACTACCCCATCCAGTGACATTCATAAAACCATATTTTGGTTCAACGAAAGTAAGTTTTATCGGTTTTACTTTGTTACT